CGAGAAATTCGGAACCGTACGAGAGAATTTCAAGTAGAAGAAGAAGTCAGAAGTCTCTGATAGTACGGAGATTGAGCAAAGAGCCGTTATCAGAAAAAAGGTAATAGGTTCAAAACCAGCTCAAGGTAAAATTCTCGTGCTTGCTGTAGTTGATTTTGCTTTTGCTATTTTAACATAACATATTTGTAGTTCTCTCGACCTTCACGGCTTCGAACTTTGGATGAAGACGTATATAATTCAGAATCAGAAAACTTGAGCGTGGATTTTTCCTTGCCATGGTTAGTTACCTAACTGTTACTCCGAAAAACGCTAGTTTTAACTGTAATACATGGTACCTCTGGATCAAATGGCCCAATGTAGCTGACCGAAACCCCTTTTGAAATAACTTGTCCCAATACTCATGCCGTTCGAATGGTAGCTTTACCGTTTGAATAAGCATTCGCCTATATGCCAACAACCGGGTGGGCTAAAGGATACATGACCACTCATATCATTATTTTCATCATCCCAGTTGAGTCTAGTGCCAGTACCAGTTCCCCAGTCACGAGTTGATGAAACTTGGGCGAGTCTGNCGCTGCCTACTTTACGGGGCTGGGATCATGTTTTTCATTTGTTTCTCTTTGGATTTGTACCTAACTGTGATCCATAACACCAAATACAGTCAGGAAGAGGTCGTTCTACTCTACCAGCAGCTGCAGTCAGCTGGTGTACCACAGCTTCTTCGAAAATTCGAACGAATAGTTGGCTCCTTTTACAAGGAGATTAAAGATCAAAAAGATGAAAATCAACGTTTACAACATGTTTTCGAAACGTAAGTCCTTATTCTTTGTAAACTTTCGGGTTGTACATTTTTTAAAAAAACATTTGTTACTCAGCAAATTACTGGAAACTTATGTTACTGGACATTCCGTTTTTCTTATTCATGCTCCGGGCTTACTGAAGTGTTCCCTCTTCTCTCAGCTACAATCGGATTCTGTTCAATTCAGGAGCGTTTCAGAAATTTAAGGACTTAGATATTCGGAGAAGGTTGTTCTCATTGTAATTTCGCGCGATAGGTAGTCTGAACTTTGTAAGTAGGTTTCTTTGTTGAAGAATTTTTCACAAAGAATGACCGAAGCGATTACAGCAAGGCTTTTTCGTTCGTATTTGAATGAACCAGTGTTTTCTTGAACAGTGTTGCGGGAAAAAATCCTACTATTTTGTTCTGTTTACCAGTTTTGATGCAGTAGTTCGGCTAAAGAAAAGAACTTTTGTGGACAACCAAGTAGAGGAATTGTATAGACTTGCAGGAGCTGGCAAGCTGGCAAACCAACCCCTTGGGTACCTTTCGTTCTACTGCAAGGAAGTTCCCACAAATAATCCCATCCAATATCTTTCTCCTTCAACCTAATTTCTTTTGCTCTTTACTTCCTCTTCTCTTTCAGAACTGAGCCTCCGGTCTTTTCCTTTCGGAAATAAAGTGAGCAGTCGAATGTATGCAGAATCTTCTCCTTTTTGCATTTAAACCTCTCATATTCATCAATTCAATTTTTCTTTTCAATGGTGATGCGAAGCTCCTTAATCGAAGTCTAAATAATAGAAGTTTACATATTGTTTGGGGGAAAAATTAAAAATCAGAAAAAAAATTAAGACTGAAATAATGTTGTGAACAAAAATTTTTTATTTATTTTGCAAACTTTCCAGAGAAAAAGATATGTACAACAAGCGAATGGAAGAAGTGGAATTCGAATTGGATCAGCAAGTGATGATGGCTGAACGTAAAGCGCGAGAAGAGGTACTGAAAGTGTTATAGCCTTTCTCTGGATTAGAATGTTATCAAATCATAGTTGACCTTCTCTGACCCTGTCCGCTTCTCTAAAAGGAGGTTGCATTTGACAAAGCGCGTTTGTGCATGGCGCAATATATAGCTGGAGTTATCAGTTCTCATTTGCATAGTTTATAGGTTCTATCGCTCTGGGTGATCATGTTTCTCGCCTCTTTAGAGTAACCGATATTCCCTGGAATAAAGGAAAGCGGTGTTCCGTGTCACTAATGCATCCAACTGCCTATGCAAATTTGAGGGCCGGTACGGGGCGAGGCGTGTCGTTAACCGACTTTCTCTGTCTCCATTTTCCAAGACAGACATGTTGGGTAATGCTACAGTTTTGAAAGGTTTAGAGATAGATAGCCCTTTCCACCCCCATATGGGAATCCTCACTGTTTGTTTGACGTTGGATTCTGCTTGCACAGCAGGTAGGCAGCAAAAAAAATCCCATACTCAATAATGTTG